AGATAAAGAGAAGAAATTATCTAAATCCGAATCACTAAAATTTCAAAAAGATTTAAAACTTCTCCAAATCAAATTCAAGTCAAGACCTAAAGATCAAAGTCAAATCCATACATTTCGAAGAAGATCAAGTCCAATAATGACCCCTCAAAAAGGTAAGCACGAAATCAATTCAATAAACTTGATTGGGATTCATTCGACGTAAAAAGTATCATATGATAATAGTGTTTCATTTACACCAATAAAGTCTATCACACACGATTACTCTATTTATTTTAAAGTTCTTACTTAATCTCAACCATATTATGATCTCACTAATTTAGGCATCGTAGAATCTTCGACTTTGACTTCTCTCCTTTCAACAATCGAATTAGGATAGCCGGTTCTATTGTTACAAATAAAGGGGCTGTGACCAATAAGAAAGTTCGGTCAAATATCCCACGTTTTTTGACATAAAAAATCGTCGACTAAAACTTTAATAGAATATATATTTACTCAGTGAATTAAAAATTTAAGGTCAAATAATATAATTCATCTGTCATTATGTTGCATCCCATAGCAGGCCTAAAGCCTACAAAAATCAAGGTTTTAAAAGTCACAATGCTTGACTAGGAGGTGGGGTCTAGCCTCAAGTCTGTAATAAAATATTTTTTCTATTTTTATTATATTATAATTATTTTTATCAATAAATAAATAAAATAACACATACTTCGAAAATTTTATAGAAATTTTATGCATTCTTCAAGTTTTTAGTAAAAACATAATTTTCAAAATCATAAATACTCCAAAATAATAATATCTTTTTTTGTTGGAAGAGAATTCTATGCTCGTGGGCTTGATTTGAATTAGAGTAGATTTCTCGACTTGTAATGAGGGTGAAAACATCCACTTTTTTTCTTACGAATATTAAGGTTATGATGGCAACTTGACTATACTTATGCATCTCCAGTTAGGATCCATTTGATATGATTTTTAAAAAATTAAAAAATAATTTTTGAGATTTAATAATTGTTTATGGACTCATTTGGTTAATTTATGAAAGTGCTTCCTCTGTTGGAAGTACTTTTAGAAAAAGTTGGTATAATGTAACTTTCTCTAATGCTCCAAAATAGCTCTCAATTTCATTGGGCCGTCCACTTGTCTTATTATTAGAAACTAGCAAGTGCTAAGGTGTTTTCTAAAAGGAAAGCTTTATGATAATTATGATGACTTTCTATTTTGTACAACTTGTTATCCTTCCTCTTTATAATGGCCACTTGCCAATGATTCCAAATTTAGCAATTGTTTAATACATAATAATTCATTGAACCAAATCATGGAAACTTGATTGGAGTCTTTTGTATGTCATTATATGTATTTCAATATTTTGCTTTGGATATAAATACACTACATGTACTTGTTGGCTTCTTATAAACAATAATGGATTATTTAGTTATGTTCAAAAGGAATTGAACTATTCAAGTTTCAAATGATTCACTCGTTAAAAAATTGGATGGAAACTAACCTAGCTCAGTTCACATGTTGACTCACTATAATGAACGAGATGTGTCAAGTTTCATCATCTACTCCACAACCCAAGAAGGCCGGCCAATTGGCCTAGTTATTGAAAAATTAAAACTATTATAAAATCCAGAGGAATTGCTGTCAAAATTTCACCAGACGTGGCCACAGCAACATCTGGTTTATCTGTTTATTATTATTATTTTTTTTACCATTATTTGACAGATTATTGTACTAATTTTGGTAACCATATTCTGTACATACAGCAGAGTTCATGTTTGAGAGCTTGGATTGTGGACAAAAACAATTGAATGAGAAGTAGGTCAACTTTCACATGAAAGTGTGTTAAAAAGGGGAAGAATAAGAGTTGCAAATTTTCTAGTAGAGGATTGAGACTGAGGACCCAATCTCACCTAGAGCAAAATGCTATCTTCAAAGTCTTTTAGTTTACTCAATACTAAAAATAGAACTAGACAATAGATTAAATTTATATATATATTTTTCTTTATATATTAATTATTGCACAATTTAGTTTACCAAACAAGTCATTGAATAAATTACCATGTTTGAATTTAGATTTAGGTTGATTCAATTAGTATGTTATATTAAAAAGGATTTGCAATTTGATTCTTTTCTCGAAGTTTATTGAAAGTTTTTGTTTAGCGCAATTCAAATTTAAGGATTATTTAAAAATATAAGACATTTATGCTCGTTCACACTATACATATATTTAAGGATTATTTAAAATCTAAGATATTTCTGCTAGTTTACGCTATACATATATTATATGACATAATTTCGAGTCATCTTTTTCATTATGATTGAACTATATATCTCATAGGATAGTCGATATTTTTGGTGATTGATGGAGACGAGAGTGATGTTGCCTGGTTATGCCATGTGTATGGTTCAAATATATTCTCATTTACTAAATACAATATAAATTTTTATAAAATATTTATATTTTTTTTGACGTATAAACAATTTATATTTTCATTAACATATAAAATAAATCTTTAATTTTATAACTGCAAAATCTCAAAATTTATACTTCGAACTGAATTCAATCTTGTGGGGGTACGTAGACAAAGAAAAATGAGATAAAGTTGATGATTAATAAGGAATTGCGACTGAACAAAGACACCCTTTTTCTGTTGAACCTCCTTTTGATTGGGTATTGCGTAGACGGAACGTCCTTCTCATTTATCCACCCCCATCTAATTTCTCAATGGCATCCTTACAAATTTGTTATTCTTTAATATTACACCCACAAAACTTATATATTGAAATTAACTATGCATTTTTGACTTGTAATTTCTACGTTATTGTAACATGTAAGCTAGTTTGATTGCAGAATTGTAGGAGAGGTACATGACAAAATTTGTTTGGTAGCAAATTTCAATTTAACATAATAACTTGCTACTGGATTTTCACCGTAAAATGAATGGGAGAATGATAGGACCCTGCATATAACTTTTTAATTCTAGTTTCCAATGCTTTAATTACGTACAAGTGAAAAGTTTGTATCAATTTGACTCCTAAACTAACAGATTTATAGTGAGAAGAAATTGAAAAAGAAGAAGAGGAGAAGTTGGTAGGGTTGGAGGAATTTAGGTGGGAGTTGGAGAACATAATGTGGATAAGGTGGGGGTGGGAACAAGCCGATAGCAATGGGCACAACAGTCGATTGAAGAGGTAATATATATGGGCAGG